TTTAGAGTGTACTATGAAGAATTAATAATAATAATAATAAAGGAATTGGAAGGAGGAAATGGAATAAAAGAGGAAAGTATATAAGAATATCCTCTACACGATAAGTGAAGGGACCGATATGACGGATAATGTTTTTTTATTGAAATGCAATCGTGTTCGCTCTTTTGAGTTCAATCTAGGTGTATCGGAATTCTAGTTTTACCTCTAAGTATATACTGCAAGATATTGCTCATATAAAGCAACTTTTTCATCCATTTCCTTGATAACCGCATGATCCTCGTTGTATACCCCCGTATCTAATAGCTTTTGCCTATTAATCTTCAGTTGATAAACAAAAATCATCATTTCGTTGCGTGTGGATTCTGCCGAAGGGGCACCGGTTTTTGTGGCTTCGGCAAAATCCTCTGGAGAAGGAGAAACCTCTTGCATAGTAGTAGAAACAACAGGAGCGAGAGGTGGCAAGGTAGAAACATACGTCTGTCTTATTTTTCCAACCTCAATCTCCCTTGCTTCTTTGTTTTTCTTATTATTTTCCTTGTCTTTCTCCTTTTCATCCCCATCATCGGATCTCCAGGATTCCACCTCCACATGTGGATAGGAACTGGTGGAAGTGTTTCCTGAAATACCGTCTCCATCAGCTTTTTCAACAAGAGGGTTTATGGCCATTACGCCGTCAGCAATATAAGAAGCTGCAGGAATGCGCTCGACAACTTGTGGAGGATGTGGAGAAGCGGAAGTAGAAGGAGTAACAGGAAGCGGACGTTCGACACACACAAAGGATGGCGTGGAAGAGCGATTTAGAGTCACCCCGCTCTCACGCTGCGTTGGAGGTACTTCATTCAGATATGAAGCCACCTCCGCCTTCAAAGAATACAATATCTTATAAAGAGGATCGTCTGCAGGCTTTGATTGTGATTCCTCACGCAACCGACGTTGCTGAACTTTATCGTCAAGTCGCTTTATCTCTTTTACCTTATCCTTATGCTCCCTAACATACCACATGTTCATTAGATCGTGATACTTCTTGAATAAGGTTTCCGAATTCAACTTAGACTGCGTAAGCTGCATCTGCATCTCCTCATTTTCAGACCATAACCGCTGAAGAAGGTACGTACGATCGTTTAAAATACTTTTCAATTCATCAATGGCTTTGTTTGCTTTTGTGACCTTTTGCTCCATCCTTCTAAGACTTTCAGCATGCGAGTTCGATTGCACAGCTAAACAGGAATCCATCTTTTCTTTTAGCGAATCGTACTCTGTTTCTAAGCTCTGTAATTTATCCTTTAGTTGGTTTATCATAGTATCCTTTTCTAAAACCTGAGACTCCAAGAAGGTTTGACGAGAAAATGCGTCTTCTATAGTGCGTTTTGCGCGCTGCTCAGTGCGATTAATATGTATTTCGTGCTGCTCCGCAACCTTAACTCGGCGCGCCTCAAATGCCGCTTCCCGGAGTTCGAGCTGTTGAGTCTGACGTTGAATAGCTTTTTCATCCTCCTGTAAACGTTTCGCCACCTTTTCGAGGTCTTTACGTGTATTCTCTAATTCCGCTATGTTTTCCTTTTCTTTTTCCCTCACCGCTAAGTGGATCTCCCGCTCGAGATTTTCTTTCGCTTGGCGAAGTTGTGAACGAAAGCGAGCCTTTTGCTGCGCCTTCCACACCTCTAGATCAAATGCCGCCGCATACTCATCGGTCATTCGAAGAACAGCATCCGAAGACTGCTCAAGCATTCTCTTTATTTAATTAGAAAAGTATAATAAACTACCAGAAATCTATTCGAAAAGGTTTAATATATTGTTCCCCTGATTCCTTAGTACACTTTAAACTTTTAAGGTGCTTAATAGAAACTCCCCCCCTCCCCCCCCCCCCCCACCCCCACACACACAGAAGAATAGATTAAACAAAGGAAAGAATAGCTATCTATTGGAAAAACACAGGAAGGCGGTATCACCTCGTACCATCACTTTCAAAAGGAGGATAATAAAAAATGATACAAAAATAGTTTCACTAATAGCAATAAAATAAAACTATATTCATCTTCATGTATAATTTTGATCTTGGTTTCAAATTTAATATTGAACAATTAAACTAATAACATTCTCAAGCATAAATACGGATATTTAACTATTAAAATAAAATAAAAAATATTTTTATACAAATTTAGATTCAATCTTGCTTCTGTCGCCGTTAAAAGTATCCAATACTCCAGTTATAGCTCGTAAAAGGGCCGCCATACTTGCTGTAAGGATGCATAAACACATCATGCAATGCAGGGCGCCATACATCATCATGATAAAAGAACTTCCGATATTCCGACGTCAACCCGACATACCCTTTATCAATAAGATTTTCCTGCTCATAGCGGTGGCGTTTGTAGGCTGAAACAAACGCACGAAGATCTAACTCCGCTTTTTGATAGGGCAAATGTGATGCCTGGCGTTCGTTAAACTCCACCATCATCTCCAAATTATAGCGCTCTCGCTCCGGTCGAAGCCAGGCCCCATAGATGGAGATACCGGCGATGACGGCCATAAACGTACGCCCGGTCACCCATCGCTTGCCGTAAACGGGGTAAATGCGAACGGCCGGATACCCCCCCGGGATGGTGCGTTCTTGACGATAAGCCTGCCCGCTAAACCACGTATAAAAAGCCTTGCTGTCGGTCGGTACGGGGTCCCGTACGAAGGTTGTGCTAGTTCGGCGAAACATCACCTTTTGGGGTTGTTACAGAAATGAAAAAACAGACAAACCGAAGGAGTTTGATAGGCTGACGAGTAACTCTAAGCCTAGTTTAGGGATAAAGAGAGAAACACTAAAGGGGCCACATTAATAGATAGAGAAAGAAAAAATTATTGATTTATTTATTCAGGCTTTGAAAGGACAAATAAGAAAAACTTAGCGCATCAATGAAGCCAAATAGTCTTTCACAAATAAACATGTAAAATTGTGAACAATGCTATTAAAATGGGCGATCATTAAATATTCACAATATTTTACAACGTACATCACAAATACACACAAAGAAAAATAGATAATAAAGCTTATTTATCTATCTTTGTATGGCAACTTTACTAAAAGCCGTTTAATACAAGGAAAAATGAGCTATTGTTGTGCGCAATTAGCGTTGTTTTCCTCAACACGCTTTGATGGTAAAGAAGTTCGCTCTTTCTTCGCCTGAGATTCAATTTGTAGAATGGAAACATGCTTCTTGTAATTAATAATCAGCGTGTTGTGTTTGACATCAAAGCTAAGATGTGATGGATCCAGAGGTAATTCTGCACGAACCATTTCTGGAATAGAAATTCTTTTATAGTACTTCTTGTTTGTCGTCTGGACTACTATCTCGCCGATTGGATCTTTATTGTTCTTTTCAACTTCTACCATAAATGTATCCTTTGGATATGTAAGGTTCCGAATTCGGAAAACGTGAAACTTCTCGGTATCCTGACGTACAAGCTGCGGGTTCCCGATAGACTCTACTATGAGCGATTGATCAAGATTCCGTAACCGTTCCTCTGCCCCGATTTCGATAATCCAATCATTCCACCCGCCTAAAACATTGCGAATTCGTCTTTTCCTGAGCATTAAATCATCACTGATGACATCATACTCCTCAACGAGCTCAGATCCGTCGGTAAACTTGGATGTGATTTTCTTTCGCCCACCCGAGACCACGGAAGTTTTTGGCTCCGCTAATGTCACACTCATAAAATCAACACCCTTATAGTAATATATGTATTTCTTGATTTATTTACTAAACCGCCTTATAAAAAGATAAGCATAAATATTAAAGAGAGCGTGAACATTCCTTTTGGAGAAATGATAATAAACATATTTTTCTTTAAAATAGAAAATGTGGAAAGTAGTAATTCATTTTTGATATGGATCTTACTTAACAAATTAATGTGTGCAGTAAATGTCGAAACTACCACACTTAGAAAGAAAAAGGAAAGAAGATATTCTGAGTACCCTCCATTCAGAGTGGCACAAATGAGCAAAAAGGAACTATCTAATATTGACACACATAGTGTCACCTTATTATCTAGAAAGAGAATAAAAGGGAGAGAAAATAAGAGTAGGTACATGTTACTTCTATATATTTTATAGAGAAAGGTATTGTCGCCAGGAGTTTTCATATTATTTTACTCGTTTAAAAAAATCGCTTCTTTACACGTCAAAATATTTGTAATGCATTATTATTAAATAGCTACCCCTATAACAACGTAAGCGCACTTATCCACTCATTCTTTTCAACACCCACCCAATGCAAACTAAAAGGTGGAAATTCAACGCTGGTGTAAATTAAGGCCTAGCTTGTTGCGGCTTCCTCTTCCGGCTTCGCCACGCAGGCGTTAAAGTTCGCCAAAGTCTCATCACAAATGGAGGCCAGCCGCTCTAGCCCGGCCGTAACGACATACACCGCGTAATCCGTTGCTTGCACGTGCAGGAGCATCTTCGGTTCTAAGGGGTGAGGAATGGAATAACCCGCCGTAGCAACCTCCGGGTTTTGCATGAGCACATGACGAAGTGGGTTACCTAATGTGTGATCTTCATGAGAGAAGGTAAACAGGGCAGTTGATTCAGTATCAGAAATGTGCTGAAGATCGATTTGAACCTTTTGTACAGCCGATGTGTCGACTTCATCGCCCTCGTTTATTCGCTGGATTCGTTCCTGGTGAAATATAAACGCATCGCGGGGATGAAATAAAGACATAAAAGATCTTTAAATTAATAAAAGGATACACTACAATAAATATTACAAATATTATTTTCTTTCAATCTTTTATTTAAAAATAAAATAAAGAGAGCACCGTAAGAAATAAAATGGAAAATATCACTTTAGGAGCACTTAAAACTAAACCTTTGTTTTTGCTTGGCATTAATTACAACAAGATTAGTATAAAGGATTTACTTTAATACTTTAACGAGGATAACGTAATCGAAATACGGGGTATTTCTTCTACGAATTTTAAGATGATTTTGAGTTGCATATTACGGCAACAATTCCTGATGCCGCTCGAAATAAGCGATCCTCAACTGCCGCCAGAAGTTCAGTATCATCTCCAAGAAGATCAGGCCATTCAGAAAGCAAAGGGAAGATAACAGCTTTGGCACCAGTAATACGCTCGGTCCATCTTAGTGTGTCAAAGACATCAAAAGACGCCTCCTTCGCGCTGCCCTTGGGGCTCAAATCCTTGTAAGCGACGCATTTATGCCTCAGCATCCCAAGAACACCCTTATAGTCAATCACAATAGTGCTTTCAATCGAGAAAACCGATTCACCTATCCGGATGATCAAGGGAGAATCCAAGGAGGTAAACGCAACGCTTGATGGAATAACCAATGCCGACGTCACTGCCGGCGAATAATGAGTCAAAAGCTGCCCAGGCCCGTCCATGGGGGTGTCT